GCTATAAGACTATTGAACCTTAAACCTTAAGGTGCAACGTTGTGATGATGTATTAGCTCTGTGTACTCACTCGGTAAACAGCAGTCTTGTACTTTTAAAGTCCTATCATCTGTAGTACAGCACGTGGACTGTAAAATATTTAAAGTTTTAAAGCTGAACCCACACTTTCCTCAGGACAAACTAAAAGGAATACAACAGTTATTGGTGGGTTGCTGACGCAGTCAATCAAATCGCTCCACTTACCTTTTCTACAACGTAGAAGGTTGAAAGAAAATATTCTTTTTAAATATAGAAAATACTTCACGCTGAGATTTTAGGGGCTTTAAAACAAATGTAAGCCATACATAATTTTAACTTAAATTTGTTTAAAAAAAATATTTAAACAGGATCTTTTTAAATTAGCTATCAAACAAAAATACATTCTGAGTTGGACTTTTTACAGGTTAAAAATAAGCCTGGCAGTGCCCTCTGGTGGACAGAGTGTGACTGGCGTTGACTATGATCTCTTCTTTGGCATTTCTTGTCATTTTTTTCAAACCTGCGGTGACACTGCTGATATTAGCCTTAGTGGATTTTTAAGGGTCATGTTTAGGAATAAGAAAAGATTCCAATATTGATATACTGGTCAATATTTGTTTAATATAAATATACACATATAAATTCTTTATGTTAGTTACTTTAAAAAGGGACGATAACGGGTGTCGTTTTTTGTTTTGCTTCGCTTTAATTATCCAGCAATGTATTTCTCAAACTAGTTTCTACTCTGCTACATGTACTGGGAGTATTGTATGGAATGGATGTTGGAGCACACTCTCCTGCAAAAACTCTAAATTAAATTTCTGCATCGGTATTTGGTAAAAAAAAATTTTGGGGGAAGATATACAGCAATTAGCCACCTGCAGCAGGTCAAGCTCTAGCTAATCTAAGTAAGCAGTGATAGGCTAGCAATGACATCCACTGAAAGGTATGGGTAGGAATGAAGTCGAAGGGACCTGTGGAAACTCATCTTTTTGTATTCATTATTGTACTCGGCATTTGGTGCAAACTGCAAACTCTGATAGGCCGATAATGACTGTAAACTTCAGCGAGCCCGCTCTAATATTAGGCTATCTAATTAAGTTTGCGCTAAAACCAGCCAGGTTATGGGCAAACCCTGGTTTTTGGAGCTTTTTTTCTTTGTGTTTCTTTCCCCAATCACCTTATTTTGCAGCCACCAATGGGATAAGAGTTTATCATCAAATCCAATTTTGTTATTTACTTTTCTTTTCAGCATGAAGGTTATTTGCCCTGTCGCCGGTTGCATTCATTACATTATTTCTACCTTCAGTGTACCTGCTGTAACAACACCAAAAACAGCTCTGTAATACCTGCAAGTGTTAACACTGCAGTTATTATTTTGTCAAAACATTTAGAATAGAAAGTACTGTAACCCACACAGCTGTATTAATCCCCTGTTCCTTTCCAAATGCAAAAATATAGGCAGTTTTGTTCCTTGCCCTTATATGAAAATATTTTTTTCTCCAGTTGGGCATCTTATTTCTTTTCAACATACATATTTACAAGGTCACTCCTGAAAAAAAATGGTGAAAACCAGTAGTTTTTCCTGCCTTCCAGCGCTTATAGCTTATCTGTTTATAATTTCCTGAGCAACGATGGACTGCTAAGAGGTGTCTCGGGATATCCAGCCACTTTCTGTGAGGAAGGTGAGAATGCGCTTCTTAAGAACCTTATCCAGGTAGCTGGGCATTCGGCTCTTGGCGGGAATGCCCTGCCTTTTCTGCAGGTGATCTTTGATGATGATGGTTTTGACAGTCAGGTAGCGTGCCGGGCTGAGGTTGAGAGAGTTGCACAGCACCTTCTCCCTGTCTGACAGCAGCTCGAAGCCTGTCAGATTCTCAATGGCAGCAAACTCACCATCTTTGCCCTCTTCTTTGATCCCACCTCCAACCCCTAGTCCTCCAGCAACGCCTCCTCCTCCTCCAGCTCCACCCCCGAGCCCCATCCCTGAACCAAGCCCTCCTCCTCCCGAGCTGCCCCGCTTTGAGGTGACCACACTTTTGTTCTCCTTGCGTTTCTCCCGTTTGTGGCGTGCTGCTTCGTATTCCGCTGACTCCTCCAGGCGTGTGATGCCGTTTCGGCGGTAGCGCTGCAGCTCGCGCACCTTGGCCCTCAGCACTCGCTCTTTATGCATGTTCTCAAAGAACTCTTCAAACTCCCGATGGGCCATGAACTGGCAAAGCGCTCGCAGCCTCACCCGCTGCTCCTTCTCTTCCTTGGTGATTTTTCTTTTAGGTGTACTTGGGAGAGGACCTGCTCCCGATGCCGTCATGGATCCTGATCCGACTGCACCACCACCAGCCCCTGTCCCACTCACGCCAGCTGCACTTCCTACGACTCCCAACATCCCTGTTTTGTCCTTTTCCTTGTCTTTCTTATCTCGGCCCAAAAATGAAGGCACCAGGTTGTAGTCACGAGCGATGTTCTTACGCCGCTGGCGTTCTCTGAGCTTACGCACATACATGTCCACATGGGCGCGCTTCATTTCAATTTCCACGTCCTCATCATCGTAGTTGACACACAGTCCGCTGATGAGCTTCTCCGCGTCCTGGTCATACTCAATCTCATAGTCATCACGTAGTGGCATGTAGCCCAGCTGCTGTTGCTCCACCAAGCTGATATCCAGCGGAGGGAGCGGAGTGGTCAGGCTGGGCGACAGGGGCCCTCCGCTCGGGCAGGTGTGATCGGTCACCCGGTTTGGAATACTGTCAGGGATACAGGCCTTCCCCAGGTTTCCATGGATGTACATGGTGACATAATGTTCCATGACTTCCTGAGGAGTCCGGGATGCTCCAACATGATCAGCCATGTCCTCCTGAAAGGTCACAAAAAGGAAGTTGTTACTAAGAGGACACCTACACCATTGTATTTTTCTATGTTATACTAGAAGATGAAAAAGTGATGCTCAAACAATCTGTTTAGCTGTTCAAGAGAAAATGGTTTAGAATTCTCATCATTGATATTTAAATATTCATATTTTCTGCTTTTCAATTTTGGGTTGTTTTTAAAATTAAACAAGTAAACTGTAGACATCACCATGAAATATTTGAAAATGTACATTTTCTGATGCATTATAGGGGTGCATAATTTTATTTAAAAACTTCCAAGTAAGTCAAACTTAATATAATTTATTTTACACAGACAAATATTCTAATATGCTACACATAAGCCATATGCACTTTGTAACTGACTGTAAATGGGGTTTGGAGGTGAAGTGTAACTGGTCCACATATACTTAAGAGGAGTCTGTACATTAACAGATGTCTGTGCATTTTTTTCTGATTTTATACTTGAGTAAATTAAACATCACTTGGTGGTGGTTGGTTTGTACAACAAGATAACTCTGCATATCTGTAACATTTCCAGCAAACCTTTCGTGACACTATTCCACTCTTAAATGTTAGCCTTGGTTTTTGGGCTTCAACCCTCTCCTGACCTTGAGATGGATAAGTTGATAACAAAATAGATTGATACGCTTTTGCATTATGAAAAATGAGATTTGATTACAGTTACATTACTTTGCTTTTTGTGTTTACACAGAACTATTCTTTCTTTTCCCTTTCCTTGTCTTCTGACTTTGTTTCAGGGGGCGCTAAAGCAGATCTTCCGCCTCCATCTCACCCTCTCCCTATAGTCACACCAACCCTCTGCATACCCTCCATCCCTACATCTCTGTGGTCTTTCTTGTGCTGTTTTCTTTTTTTGTGCTCTTTTTTGTTAATTGTCTTATAGAAAATAGAGTTTTGAATGCATCTCTAAGCTAAAGTAGGCACTAAAAAGCACTGTGCCTCAATGATTCGTGGGATATTATGGAAAAAATTTTAACATTTGTGTATATTCCATTAGTCTGATATCAAAACAGTTGGTCTTTGGTACACATTTAATTCAGAGGTTGATACACTTTACATGTTTCTTTAATATGCTGCATTGTAACACAAGTTTCAGGTTAGGTTTCAGTTAATAAGGAGTTAATTACTACTTACTACATAACAATATAGTTTTTCCTTACTTATTTGCTTCCTGTTTTGCCCCTTGTTGTTTTGTGACTCGGAGCAATACAATTATTGAATGATAATTACGATTATTTTTCCTTTTTATGCGAGGTGTTGTTGACATTCCACGTTTCTTAAAGTAAATTTTAACACTATTCTCAAATCTATTTTATTCAGGCTTTTCTTCTGTTTATAACGTCTCGAAAATAATGTACAACGATAACAACGAAAATAAGAAGAAAAAAATCATTGTTATCTCAAAGGTCATTAGCGTTATTCTTATATTACCGCTACAAGCCTACTGCTCTTCTTTGTTTTTTCTTTTCTTTTCTAAGCACTAGACACAACGAAACTCCTATGAGTTTGTATAGAAAGCTCTAAAGGTCAGAAAAATAACTTAGAAAGTGATGTACCCAGTTTCCAAATCCATACTGCTCGATAGCATCGAGTAGCGACTGCTCTTCCCTGCTGGTCCACCCTCCTTCTGCCTCTGTACCCCAGAGAGAGAACCGACCGCCGTCGACCTGCTGGTAGCCGTGCCATCTCCGGTGATTACCGATTTCAGCGCCCGCTGAGAAGCACTCTGGGCACAGCTCGATATCAGGGCACTCGGTGCAGCGAAGCCGCAGGTTTGTAACATCTGCAAGGCAGTTAACGCAGTACTTCTTCCCCAAGTCGGCCATCTTGCCTGGCGTCTGCTTCTTGTTGTTGGAGGCAAACCTTCGCGCCTGCGTACAGCGAGCCTCGCAGCGCCAGCTACTCACATCCTGCTTATAAATATTAATGAGAATGGGTCAGGGCTCCTGTGATTGGCTCTTCTGCTTAGTTTCCAGGACAACCGAAACAAAACGAACAGTTTCATTGACCACAGAACTGCACGAGCCTTACCTCTGTATACAAAGTAAATATTATTAAAAATGGACAAAGAGGCGGGAGAGGGAGAAAATAAGGTAAGAATTCATAGTGACAGAGACACAGAGGAGAATTTTATTTCTGTTAGTGAGGATAAAAATGAAGCTGTCTCAGCTGAAATGCCCACATCAGACCCTGAAGAAAAGCACTGTGACAGCGGGAAAGTCACAGAAGAGTTCTCTGCTGAAGAGGCCGCCACTTTTGAACCAGAAGCCAAAAGTGAAGATGAGCTCTGCACTGAGTTTGATGTGATGATTAAAGTCAAAGAACAGCCACTGTGCCACGAAGAAAGTGTGGTTTCTGAGATGAACAGCACTTACCACGATGACGCTCTGAAGCTACATCCTGAGACTCAGGAAACGGAGATCTCCAGCCCTCTACACCACGAAGATGAAGAGGCTGAAAAAGAGGGAGCCACATCTGCATGTGCACAAAAACTAAACATAAAGTACAAAGAATATAGACAGCTCCTCCAGGAGGTGTGCAAGGAGCGAGATAAGGCCAGGCATAACAGCAGCCAGCTGCAGATGAAACTGGCACAATACTTCAAGAAGGCTGGGGACAGTGTCCAGCTGGAGGGCGAGAAGCCTGTGTCAGAGCAGCTGCAGGAGTACGAGAGGTACATCAACACCCTGACTGACCTGAAGCAGCAGCTCCGTGCTGAATCAGAGGCAGCCCAGCGTCAGGCAGAGGACCTGAGGCTACAGTCCCAGGAGCAGCTGGGCAAGGTTGGTGTTGTTTTAAGGGATTGTGTTTTTTACATTAAAGCACAGTTTTACATCCCATATTCACATCTGCAGTAGCACAATAACAATTAAACTTCCAGTCTATTAAAGCTTCAGTCTCTCTCGGTATCTGGTAGGTCATAGATGATGTGATTTATTGTTGTTTGGTTTAACTCCAGAGTTCATAAAAACTGAAAGAAATCAGATGGATCTGATTTCATTAAAAATTCTGTCTCTGTTTTTTTATGCTTTCAGACAGAATCCTTTTTGACTACTATTCAACAGGTCAAGTGTCGTTTACTAATCAGTAGTTGTTTCACACTTCATTGTTCCCCACTCAATCTTTATCTGCATCCCACTTCTGTTACCAGTGTTGGGCCTGGAGGGGGCAAATACTGGCTATAATTTAGTGGAAATTTACTGAAAGTCCCAATCAGAACCTTTAGATACATCTGCATCTAAAGGACAAAGGTCACTCGTTCAAGGATGCTAATGTTTACATTTTGGTTCTAAAGAGGAGTGAAAGAAATCATCTGTGTCCAACTGTTATTAACGACCCTCTTTGAACAGAGGAGGTGGCTTACGACACCAACTGTCTACCCTCTATAATCCATTTTTGAGATACCTTCCCAAGCGCCACATGATAGTTTGAGCCAATATCTCCCAAAAATCCAATCCAAAACCAAAACCTCTGCAGATATCACACACACACGTTTTCACACCTTAGCTCATGTGGTGAGCCACATAATCAAGGGCTTAAATACTTCTGACTCTCCATCTTTGATCTTAGAACTCAAGAAGCTTATCGAATGAGAGCTGAATCATCTTCAACAAACTTAAAGAAGTCCAGTCGCTTTTTTGGTCGCAAGCACTTGACAGTTGGAAAGAAACACACTCCGCCCTAAAGCGGGTTTTATAACTTCTGCCTTCGTGACTCTACTGGTGTTGCTGTGGCATAACTTTTGTCATCGGACAGGACGCACAGGTTTGCCTGCTTGCCCTAAACTGACCATAACCTTGACTCCGAATCTTAACCCTTAAACAAGTCAGAATGATTGTAAAAAACTGAAACCTTTAACCTTTCATCAATCAGATGGTCTAAAAATTGCTAAGACTTTAATCACTCACTCCTGTTGCTTGTAAGTTGGATTTTCCAGAAAGCTGGATTCCACATTCTGTCTGTTCTGCAAAGACACATTTTCAACAGGCACATTTAGGTCCACTTTTAAAAACAACAACAATGTGATATAAAGTGTTTATGTGACTAAATACATTGTAGCTTTAAAAGAAAAAGAAAACAACTTTAGTTAACTGAAAAAAGCCACAGTTTCTGTCAGGAACTGGAGTTTCATTTTACACTTTAAATGTAAATCCTAAAAAAAATGCTGATGCTGATTGGCATGGAGGCATTATTTTACATGACTTTGAACCTACTTTAGGCTCCATCACTGACTCCATGACTTGTTTAACAGCTTCACACTTCTTTGTTTGGACACCAAACCCACAACACCTTTTTGGAAGAAACATGTTATGTAAATTATGATTCACAGTCTACACCATAAGGCCTCTTCTTACAGGCCAAACAGAACAATAGCTGCACTTATTACAGTCCCGAGAGATCAAAGTCAAGCTACAAGTAAAAAGAGAAATTCTGCGATACAGTAATGTCCAGTGTTCCTCAACTGACTGAAGAGTTATCAATAAAACATTTGTTTTCCATGAGATTAGATTTGCTACAACTTTACTGCCATTGTTGAGAGTAGATTGCAGAGAAAGCTGCACACAGTTACAGTGAGTCTTTCTGAAATCTTCAGTCATTCCTCAGCCTGTATTTAAAAAGGAGCCTAAATTACAACAACAGAGGATTAATTAAACCGATGATCTTTTGTCACCTGAAATTGATGCACTTAAGGTACAAGAAAGAAGAGACAAAAACATTTTCAGTTGCTCACAAATATGAGCACAGTTCTGCCCCCGTTCTTGCTGTTCACAGTAACACCCACTGCAATGTATCTGCAAGAGAGGCGGACAAATGAGGAAAAGAGAGCAGCTTTGATTCTGCACAGAGGCACAGTTATCTTTTCTTGAGACTGTTTTTAATGTAGCCTATACAGGCTCCGGTTCATTAGTGTTGTCCTTAATTTTAAATATGAATTCAACGTTAAAAGCACAAACAAAATAAAGTAGATTTTAAAATCACAGTTTTGATTTGGCAAAATTTTCCAGTTTCCAGTCATTGTGGATCAAAATTATTGAAAGACTTACAACCCTAATTAAGTTGATAACACTTACAATTGTGTTATTTTTGTAATTGTGTGTGTTGGAGAATTCTGTCCACAACAAAAATACAACTTTAGTGGAATGAGTACAGTGCTCTGTAAGGGCTAAGGTGATATATTTCAGTTCAGCAGTCCGATTAGCTGCATTTGAACCAAAAATCCATCTATTTGTGTTTGTTGGCTTCAATTTCACTTCAAACATGGGTGAACTAGACACACAGACGTTAGCACAGTACATGCATGAAACAGTAAATCATTTTTTATGTATTCATTTTCTTATCATTATTTTTGCATGTTTAGAAAAAGGGAAAAGTTTTTATATGATACCTCAGTCTCTGCAGGGAAAATTGGCACAAGTGAGCCACACATGCACACTTGCAGGGAAGCTGGATGGATGTGCAGTGCATACTGAACTGTGCAGACACAGTGGAAGCTGTGGAAGATGCACAAAGACCGTTTGTTAAATATAACATGAAACTAAGTAGAAATCTGCTGTCATTTAAAAAAAAAAAATACACTGAAAATACAGTGACTGTACATATAGCCCTGTTATTAAAATTATTTAGCAAACTGTTAATGCACTCAAAAACTGTCTCATCTTCATCCTCAGGTGGAAGATGAATGGCGAGCACTGATGGCACTGAAACAGGATACAGCTGTGAAGATGCTAAGCAGACGCCTGGGTAAAGAAGCAGCTCGGGCCAAAGTGGAGGCGTCTCTGCGAGCTGAACAGCTTCGGCAGGATGAGCTGATCAAACTGCGGCTGAAGCACATCAAGTTGAATATGAAGATTTGCAAGCTGGAGGCAGAGCTCCGCCGTAGGGAGGAACATGACAGGGACCCCATACAGATCCAGTTTGAGCAGCTGCAGGCTGAGAAGCTAGAGCAGAAAAAACAAGCTGAAAAGCAGCACGAGGGATCAGTAAAGCTGCAGAAGAAGATCAGCAGTAGCTTGGAGGTATGCTGACAAATCCATGGATACAGATTGCTTCTAATTTCTTTCATTATGAGCAATAGCAGTGATATTTGTTGTCTCTCTTGTATCAGTGCCTGTCACATATAAAGGAGAAGCTGCGCTGGTGCCAGATGGAGGTCAAGGTGAAGAGAGAGCAACTGACTGAGGTGGAGGCCGTGGTGGCTGGGAAGAGGGACCACCTAACCAGGGTCAAGCAAGAAAACAGTCGCCTGCACAGACAAAACCTGAGGTTGAAGGAGCAGCGTGGGCTGCTGGGCAACAGGGTCCTGCTGCAGGACTTTGAGGATACTGTGAATGCCTCTGACCAACTGGAGGAACAACTAGAACATCTGAAGTGCCGGCAAGCCGAGATCCTCTTCAGCTGTAGCGGGTGGAAGAGTCAATAATGACTAAAACTTTATCTCAGGTTTCAAAAAGCTATGAAAAAAATGAGAAAAGAACACATGTAGCTGACAAGGAGCTACCAGGAATGAGAACGAGCACTAGCCCTTAGAGTTTGTTTCAGTGTAGAGTCTCACTGTAAACTAAGCCTGTGTGCAGTAAAACTTGGAAAACCATAATCTGGATAAGAAGTCATGGACGGCATCCTCTCAAAAAAGATTATCATCTTAGATAAGGTGACTCAGACATGTTGAATGCAATCTTAAAAACATTGATAGAAATAAAGATACATTTTTGTGCAGTTTTTGTATTTTAATATGAAAATTTACTTTTTTTTTTACCAGAAGGTTTTAGTGTATTTGTCCTGTAGTAAAAAGAAAAATAATTTAATTTAATTTTACAAAGAAAACGTAGTAGCGGTTAATACTGTCACCTCACAACTAGAAGGTTGTATATTTATAGTTCATGGCTGGCTTCAGCTTCTATGTGGGAATAATTGGTGATTTTGAATTGCCTGTAGGTGAAGATGTGAGAGTGACTGGTTGTCTGTCTTCTCTGCCACATGTGGAACGGGCTCTGCTGAATCAACGTTTCATACTTCTTAAATGTTACCTTGACATCTTTGATAGACTTTCTAGCCAGAAAGTTTGTGTTCAGCAATATTTAATCCAATTATTTATGGATTAAAAAGACAAAAAGACTTAGAGAGCAATTGTATGAAATCCATAAATTATATATATATATATATATATATGCTATGTATATATGTATAAACCCAGAAGCTCTAAGGTATTTATAAATCAGTCTCTAACACTGCAAGTTTACACTTAATGTAAAAGAGCTAGCGTCACAGCACGAGAGTTACATGATGCTGATAGGACACTGAGGTGACTTTTTAACTTCAGGCACAGAACCTTCTTTGGTTCAGTCTTTTTTTTAAGACAGAATCATCCTAGTGAATGCACATCTCTATAGGGCAAACCTTAAAACTGTAACCTAACACAAAATACATTTCAGTGACGACCACATTTATTTAATTCCATATACATGTAAAAACCATCAGCACATATCTCCACCGTTTCTGCATACATTGAGAATCTGAAACATGGAAAACAGCACCAAGACCCAGTGCAGAAAAGAGTAGGCTTCACAGATAAGACAATGATTAAATCAGACACAGTATAAACCGAGGACCTGGAGTGGAAGTGGATTGCTAGGTGGCATGCAGGTGCACGGCAACTGTGGGCAGGCTAAAGCAGCTTAAATAACACACCCTATAGACAACTGCATAGAGACATCAGTTGTTGTGTGAATGGCAGCTTATAACAACCAATGTCTTTTAGTTTTGAAAAAGTGTATACACATCATACACATGCTGTAGTGTAGTGATGAATATATCATGGCTATCCTCCTGGCACTTAACAGCGTACACTATATTACAGGTACAGAGTAATATAGTACTGTGACTGTTTGTGCCGGGGCACCTCATCCTTGTGAAAGGTACAGAGACATTTAGAGAAAATGTGTTTTAGCTGTTCCAATACTCCTGACACATAAGCATCACTGAGTGTTTTCACTTAGGCAGCAGTTGTCCTTCTTTCTTGGATGGGCTGGAGTTTTCTTTAGGTGCCTTTCCAGCTTTGACACATGTCCAGCTGGGATAGCCTCCATTATCATTAATGGAGCTCCAGTGGAGAGCGTGCAGTCCTTCAAGTATCTCGGTGTCAACATCTCCTCAGACCTGACATGGTCTGCCCACATTCAGGTCCAGACCAAAAAGGCTAGGCAGTGCCTGTACAACCTACCACAACTGAGGAAGTTCAGGGTCTCTCCAGTGATCCTCAGGACTTTCTATACAGGTGCTGTGGAGAGATGTGAGAGATTTTGAAGGACCCGTCCCATCTGTTGCTGGGATGGGACGGGTCGCCCCGCCCCCCCCATTATCCTTAAGTGACTGAGACAGGACTCATTACCACATTCTCATATCATCCTGATCCCTCTGGCCTCGCTATAGCACATGACATTTTAACACCCTTCCCACACAATGTGCACAAGATGTAATTTTCCATATTGTTTTATTTTATTTTATTTCTATTTATATAATGTACATAACTCACCCACTTGCAACACATAATGTCCTCTTTGTATATACTCATTCACTGTATATAAAGTTCTGTCTTTCTCTTTTTTTCGTTGCACAGTCGAGGAGTGTATCAGGTCACATTTCACTGTGTGTTATACCTGTATAGCCATGCACGTGACAAATAAAGGATCTTGAATCACATTTACTCTGGGCCTTCTTGATGTGATGTTCTTCTGCTTCCCTGGCCACTGTGTCTGTAGGGATGGTGTTCACTCTATGTTGCAGCGT